TTACATTATGCAAGCCCCATCTGGCAGGAGCTACCTGTTTATCTCAGTTCAGTCGGGGAGTGGGGGTGGGGTTCCCAGTTCCCTCTATTGTGGCTCACACATCCTTCCAGTGGGCTAGGCAAAGGTCTAGTGGAGAAGAAGGGAACTGTCCCATAGCGTCCGTCACAGTCAAGTCAACAATGAGAACAGTTAATAAATTACACACAAGACCAAGGACACATGAAAAAACTTTGCCCCAACAAAACAACCAACAGAGCTCCAAGAACAATGACAGCCTGATGTGCTCTGGGTGGGGGGGTAACCCTCAAGGCTCAATCACATCAAAAACAATCCAGACTAGAGGATCTCTGTCCTTAATCAAACAGACATCAGGGGCTTCCACATCCCAGTCAGTCAGACATGCACCCTTTCTTTTTTTCTTGGAAGAGGAGAGAGTAAAGTAACAATGATGACAACAAAACATACAAAAAAAACCCACATGAAATGGCTCTGACAAATTCCTGGGACAAAATACAAAGTGGCACTTCCTCCCACCGTGGGGGAAGATACCCAAAGATGCTCCTAAACCAAACGGTCACCTCTGAGGTGGCCTTAGGGCTCTGGGACGTCTCCCTTCACCGCCAGGTTCACTGTCTGGACACGTCTGTCCCAGTGAGCCTGCAAAGTACAAATCAAGCCTGCAAAGTACAAAACAAAAGTAACAAGACAGAGAGACACAGACAAGACAGAGAGCGCTCTTACCGGTAGATGTCAATAAACCTCTGGACCCTTGGGTGTCAGGCAGGGGGAGTTTGAGAGAAAATCCTCTGCAAGGGCTAATAAACACACGCATCTCCCTCTGCTTCCTTTAGAACATCTCTAATCACACCATAAAAACTAAAAAAGGCGTTGGGGACATTTTCCCCATATCTGATTAATTTGTTAATATCTTTCCTAACCTACCATTCTAGCCCCCTTAATTGTTTTTCTCCTTCTCATAATGGGCCACCTCCTCTTCTAAACTGGCTTCCGAAGTGGGGTCTTGCTGTGGGATGGTCTGTATGTCAAATGTGTTGCTGATTGGTCAGTAAATAAATCACTGATTGGTCCGTGGCCAGGCAGGAAGTATAGGCGGGACAAGGAGGAGAATAGAGCTGGGAAGTGGAAGGCTGAGTGGGAGAGACACTGCCAGCCGCCATCAGGACAAGGAAGATGTAAAGTACCGGTAAGCCACAAGCCACGTGGCAAGGTATAGATTAATAGAAATGGATTAATTTAAGCTATAAGAACAGTTAACAAGAAGCCTGCCACGGCCATACAGTTTGAAACCAATCTAAGTCTCTGTGTTTATTTGATCGGGTTTAAGCGGCTTGGGATTGGCGGGTGAGAGAGATTTGCCCTGACTGTGGGCCAGGCAGGAAAACTACAGCAACAAATGGCGTCCAACGTGGTGGCAAGAGTTTCCACCTAAAAACTGAGAAAAGGATTCTAAAACGGAGCTAAAAACAGCTTCCTAATTGTCTCTCTCAAATGAGCGGCAGCTGCCGGTTTGAGCTACTGGCGGGTTGCTGGCGTGCGCGCTCGACCTGCAGTATGGCGGGAATGAAGTCTCTGCAAGTGACACATTAAGCTACATTGTGGAGTTAGCCTTTGCTAGTACAAAACAAAAGAGATTTCTGGGCTACACGCTGCTTGGATAAAAGCATAGACCCACGATGGCTCCCAGAGCTGGCGGAAAACTACAGTACCGCCGCCATGTTGAGAAGCTGAGGTGGGCGGAGCCAGCAGCCACAGCTGCTGCAGCTTAAAGCAACAGATTCATAATAAGACAGATTCAGATGTAATAGTTTAAAATGTGTGTAAAATATACGTAGGCTTAAAAGAGACAAAAAAAGGTGATATATACAGTATAGAAACAAATACATGGTTTTAAAAAAAAATAAAGTCTTTAAAGAGACAGTAAAATTAATATAAAAAATAAGCCACGTAGAGATGACTATTACACAGAGAGTCTGGATTGTGTTGTCTTTGGGATTCTTAACTACAGAGAGATATTTGATTGTAAAGGAAGCTGAGTTAAACCAGTATGTATATTTTAAAGATACTTTGACTTCAAAATTTGGATGTAAGGATATGTTGCTTTGGAAAAGAGTCTCTTTTGTTTCCACAGAAAGCAAGAGGCTATGGATTTGTTCCAGAGTAAGATACATCAGGTTTGACCAGCCAAGACCCCCTGAAAGGTCTCCGATGACACCATGGCCCAGATGATCCAACATCCAGAACCGTTTCAAGGCAACTGGCCCAGATGATACAGCCTCACGGACTACTCCATGATCCTAAAATTTTCTTTGTTTCCCCAGAAGATACAGCGCCCCCCTCCAGCAGGAAGTAGTAAGAGAAGCTACGCCCAAATTCCCAAATATACCAAGCTGACTTTGGAGATGTGTAAAGGTTAAAACCTTCCTTTTTAAGAAAAGAAAAGGGGAGGTGCTGTGGGATGGTCTGTATGTCAAATGTGTTGCTGATTGGTCAGTAAATAAATCACTGATTGGTCCGTGGCCAGGCAGGAAGTATAGGCGGGACAAGGAGGAGAATAGAGCTGGGAAGTGGAAGGCTGAGTGGGAGAGACACTGCCAGCCGCCATCAGGACAAGGAAGATGTAAAGTACCGGTAAGCCACAAGCCACGTGGCAAGGTATAGATTAATAGAAATGGATTAATTTAAGCTATAAGAACAGTTAACAAGAAGCCTGCCACGGCCATACAGTTTGAAACCAATCTAAGTCTCTGTGTTTATTTGATCGGGTTTAAGCGGCTTGGGATTGGCGGGTGAGAGAGATTTGCCCTGACTGTGGGCCAGGCAGGAAAACTACAGCAACAGGGTCTAGCCAATAATCACCCTTGTCTTTGTGGATAACAGGATACATAGATTACAGTTTATGCCAAGTGGTTTATCTAAACGTACATTTTGCAGTTAGGCCAAGGACGCCCTGTTTTGCAAGACTCCACGAAGCAGAAAACTCAAGACATAACAGTCCTGGGTCAAACAGTCCTGAGTCAGTCTCCAACAAGCTACCATATTCAATGGTTGCCCTGCTGGGTTTCAGTCTTCCCTTGGTCCATTCTTTCCTCACTGTGTCTTAGTTCCTTTCCTTTGGGATGGTAATGGATTTTCTGTGCCACTCACATGTTGGAAATACATAAATTGTTTTCTGATTTTATAATATGCCACAGTAAAGAATTTGTCTTGAGTGTCAAAAGAGACTTTGAACATTTCAACAGTGTAGGAGTTGTTGCAGACTATGAGAATCCTTGAAGTGACTAAATGCATTGTCTTCATGGATGACACTTGAGCCTATAGTGACCTGGGTGAGAATCTAGTTAATTGAATAAAAATCTCCCAGATGGATGAGGTATTTGAACATGTGTCTCTCCTTGATGACTTTCTTTGTGGTACTTGTGGAACCTTTCTGGATAAAATATCTCATTGGGGCTGGTGATATGTGCTTCTATAACCTCAACCCATTTCCTTTTCTATGTTTCTACTATGTTGTGGTTGAAATGAATGAGCCAGCTTCCTTCTTGTGCTGCCATGACTTCACCACCAGTATAGATAGTATCATGAAATCACATAAAATACAAGTGATGGAATTGGTATTCAATGCTAAGCCACTTTGCTAGCCTGAACTTTTTAAAATTTTGTTTTTTCTTATTTTTGTTTCTAAAGAAAAGCTTTGACTGAGTAGCCCTGACTCTCCTAAAATTAGCTCTGTAAACCAAGTTGGCTTCCAACTCAGAGATTCACCTAACTCTTGCTCCCACATGCTGAGATTAGAGGTTGTTCAACATTGCAGGTTTTTTAAATATATATTATTGGGTGATTGTCTTAGAGTATATGTTTTTGTACATGTCAAGCACTTGTTGTTTTGCTGAGCTTTACCCCCCCAGTTTCAATTTTGAAATTCAGCAGAAGATACTATTCTCTTCTTAGATGTAGTGTCTGGGCCTTCTGAGTCATTAGATTATAATTGTGTGACATTTTTCTTGCTTTTTGTGTTTGTTTTGATTTTTTTTAATGATTATGATTCTTCTGTCTATATACATGGATATGCAGCACATGTACACCTGTCCTCACAGTAGTCCAAAGACAGTCTTAGAACCCACAATCTTGGTATAATGCACAGTTGTGTGATTCTCCCATATAAGTTCTGACAATTGAGCTCATTTATATGTAAGACCAGTAAGAATTCTTTTACTTCTGAGCCATCTCTCATTCCCTGCGTTGATTATTTATGATCACCACTGATATTGCTAATGTTATCTTCTTTCTATTTGTAACTCTTTAAATGCACAGTTCCTTTTTGTAAGATTTATTAAAGTAGTTTAAACTGGAGCAATTCACGTTTTTGGAAGATGAATACAGAACTGGAGTGAATGCCAAACTCTTTGTAGGATCTTCAGTAAAGAAATCTTTGAGTTCATCTTATCTTTTTTGTTTGTTTGAATGGAAGATTCAGTGCAGATGCAGTTAGTATAGACTGAGCTAACTTTCACCTCAGAAGCACATATACCTGCTTCTACCTTCTCAGTTCTGGGATTAAAGGCATGAGCTGATATACTCAACTTACACATCTTCTTTGTAGTTAATAATTGTTCACACAATTTCTCTGATGGGTGCTCAGTACTGTTGAAGTGTTTGCTTGTCTCTCTATCTCTGTTAATAGATATTTCTCTTGCAAGGTGATATCCTGTTTAGAGCATTCAGAAATAATAGAGGTAAATCTCCTATTCAGTTTCCTTGTGAAGTAACTTGATGATTTCATTGCAATGTCTGTGTTATAGAATACGAGTAGCACTCACCAGAATTATATGGCTATATTGTCAAAGAAGCACACATTTACAATGTTGTATCATGCTTTTTGTTTTATACATATGGATGGCATATTTATGTATGGCATATTTTAGGATGCAGTGACCTATAATGATGTACATGTTGACATCACTCAGAAAGAGTGGGCATTGATGGATCCTTCACAGAGGAATCTCTACAAAGATGTGATGGTGGAGACCTATATGAACCTCACAGCTATAGGTAATACTATAAATTTTCCTTCACATTTTAAATAAGGGGACAACTGTTTCTTGGTTATTGATGCTCTTCTGCAATTCTGATTGAAAATGAGAAAGAATGAGGTGAATCAAACAGGCTTGGTTTGAAGGATCAGTGAAGACAGTAATGTAAATTTTTCAGTTTCCTGTAATATTTCATACATTTCCTCGTTCAATATTTTAGGTTACAATTGGGAAGACCTTGAAGTTGAAGAACACTGTCAAAGTTCTCTAAAACTTAGAAGGTAATTTTCTTGTACAAGGTGATACAAATGGGCCTCTCAATATATTTAATATATCTGAAAGTTTTAAAGAAATGAGGAGTGTAAATAATCACAGCTTAAATGCATTGATGATCATTAAATGCTCATAAACACATATACCTCAAGGGCAGGTAAATGAATCGTGTTTGCAAGTGATCCTTTTAAAAGGAAGACAAAAAAAAGACTTAGCAGAAATCACCATTTGAATAATAGCTTCATCAAAGCAATGCTGTACAAGTGACAGTCAATTTAGTTTCAAAGTATTTATATAACAAAAGATATACTCATTGAATATGTGACAAGAATATATACACAACCTTGTAATAAGCAAATAGTCCATAGTATAGTTACTCATATAGTGTTCTGTCTTTGCTAATTTTAGTTTGATGGGGAGTTAGAGTCAAGAGTTAAGGGGGGGAAGTTGTAGAGAAACATTATTCCCTATACCACATGTTGATGAGGAACAGAAAGTCCAACTATAAATGAAATGTGGAAATATTCTTGTTGTTATTCTTTCTTTAATAGTTATCATATGTCACTCTGGATATCAGCCATATGAACATAAGGATATGAAAAGAAGAATTGTACATCTCTCAATCTTAGAACAATTAGAAGATACATAGTAGTCCCATTTTAAGTAAACTTGTTGAATGTGTTTCAAGTTTACAAACAATTTGTTTTCCAGGTTCATTCAGAATAGATCAACAAACACACCACAGAAAAGCTTTATGAGTTCTAGTACTGTGTAAATGCTTCTGTGTGTGCTGGTTAACTTTGAACATGTAGCATGTTTCACAGTGTAGGAAACTTTATCAATGGAATAACTGAGGTCAATGTCCAAATTCTCTCAGTTCTCTTCAAATATATGAAAATCCTCAGAGAAAAATGATGCCATAAATATGAGCAAGGTAATAAAGGCTCCTATTATCACAGGCATTTTCAAATATGCAAGGCCATCCTTAATGCAGGAGGAAAACATGAGTGTAAACATGTTAAAACCATAAGATCTCAGTTCTCTTTATATTTAGACCAAATTGTAAAATTAATTTATACAGATATATAGACTCAACAAAGTAATGAATGTGGTAAAGCTTTTAAATGTTTCAATTATTATTGCAGGCATGAAAGACCTCATACTACAGAGAAATCCTATGAATATATTCGGTGTGGTAAAGCCCTTGTATGTCATAGTCATCCTCAAAAAAATGAAGAAACACATACTGGAGAGAAATCCTATGAATATAATCAATGTAGTAAAAACTTTTCACAACACAGTCATCTTCAAAGGCATGAAACTACACATATGGTTAAAAAACCTTATAGATGTAATCAATGTGGCAAAACCTTTGCTCAGTGGAAAGTTCTTCAGTTGAATAGAAGAACACATACAGGTGAGAAACATGAATATATGAATTATGCATATAATAGATGTGGTAAAGCCTTTGCACAGCCCAGTAATCATCAAGGACATAAAAGAACACATAATGGAGAGAAACTCTATGAAAGTAATCAGTGTGATAAAGCCTTTGCTCGACACATTGCTCTTCAATTGCATGAAAGAACACATACTGGAGAGAAACACTATGAATGTAAAGAATGTAGTAAAGCCTTTGAACAGCTCAGTCATCTTCAAGAACATAAAAGAGCACATACTGGAGAGAAACCCTATGAATGTAATCAGTGTGGTAAAGCCTTTGCTCATAACAGTGCCCTTCAATTGCATGAAAGAACACATACTAGAGAGAAACCCTATAAATGTAATCAGTGTGGCAGAACTTTTGCTCAACACATTACTCTTCAAAGGCATGAAAGAACACATACTGGAGAGAAACCCTATGAATGTATTAGGTGCAGTAAAGCCTTTACATGGCACAGTGATCTTCAAGTACATAAAAGAACACATACCGGAGAGAAACCCTATGAATGTATTCAGTGCGGTAAAGCCTTTTTACGGCCCAGTCATCTTCAAGTACATAAAAGAACACATACTGGAGAGAAACCCTATGAATGTAATCAGTGTGGTAAAGCCTTTGCACAGGACAGTCATCTTCATGGACATAAAAGAACACATACTGGAGAGAAACCCTATGAATGTATTCAGTGTGGTAAAGCCTTTGTATGGCCCAGTCATCTTAAAGTACATAAAAGAACACATACTGGAGAGAAACCCTATCAATGTAATCGATGTGGTAAAGCCTTTTCACAGCTCATTCATCTTCATAGACATAAAAGAACACATACTGGAGAGAAACCCTATGAATGCAATCAATGTGGTAAAGCCTTTGCACAGCACAGTCATCTTCATAGACATAAAAGAACACATACTGAAGAAAAACCCTATGAATGTAATCAGTGTTGTAAAGCCTTTGCTTATCACTCTCATCTTCAAAGACATGAAAGAACACATACAGGAGAAAAACCCTATGAATGTAATCAATTGTTGTAAAGCCTTTGCTCACAACTCTCATCTTCAAAGGCATGAAAGAACACATACTGGAGTGAAACCATACAACTGTAATCAGTGTGGTAAAGCCTTTTCTCATCTAAGTGCTCTTCAATTTCATGAAAGAAAATATGATTGAGAAAATCCCTATGAATGTAAACAGTGTGGTAAAGCCTTTGACAGCCCAGCCATCTTTATGTACATTAAGGAACATATACTGGAGAGTAACCCAATGGATATAATCAATGTGTTAAAACCTACTCACAACACAGAGCAACCCTATAACTGTAAATCTTTTAGTGTGTAATTTGTCCCTTCTGTGAATATCACTCTGTATAAATAAAATGCTGATTCGCCAGTAGCCAGGAAAGAAGTATAGGTGGAACAAGGCAAGAAGAGAATTCTGGGAAGTGGAGGCTGAGGCAGAGAGGCAGTATCAGCTGCCATGAGGAGAAGCAACATGTTAAGATAAGGGTAAGTCACAGCCATGAGGCAATTTATAGATTAATAGAAATAGGTTATTTTAAGATATAAGAACAGTTAGCAAGAATCTTGGTATGGCCATACAGTTTGTAAGCAATATAAGCATCTGTGTGTTTATTTTATAAGTGGGCTGTCTGACTGCCAGGGCTTGGTGGGACCTGGAGAGAAAACCCTAGCTACAGGTCTCTTAAAGCCTTTGACTATAACAGTAGACTTTGAGGATCTGAAAAAAAAACTCATACCAAAGGAAATCTGAATATTTATGAATTATTATGTTCATCAGCCAACATACTTACATTCAATTACACAAAATTAATTATTTTGGAAAAAATCTAAAATTTGTCAATAATCTGTTCAATCATTATAACATCTCTTTTTATTTTGTTTACACATGTCAACTAATATGGACAAAAGGCTCTAAATTTAAATGATAAAGTAACCCTTTTAGATTTCATACTTCTTTTCAAATACATGAGATAATGAATTCTGTTGTAAACTTTGATAGATGTGTATTATTGCCTTTTTGTGGCTTTGATAATAGATCATATCTAAGTGACCTCAGAAAAAGGTTTTATTTGGACCTTGGTTCCAAAGCAATACATGAACCCCATAAAAGTGTCATGGAAACAAGTGTCAGACATAGCAGCTAAAGCATGCAGCTAAGAATTCACATTCTTGTACTACAGCATGAACTAGAATGTGTAAATTGGAAATGGTATGCAAATGGGAACTCTCAGGCCAATCCCCAGGTATCGATTTCTTCCAGCATGCACCATTTCTTAAATCTTCCCAAATGATTACACAGACAGAAAATGATTGATTTCTCTGACTTCAAGCCTCCAGGCTTGCTTTCTGTTACATCAGCCAATTCATGATGGAGAAAAACTCTGTAATCATTGAGATGCCTCAAAACCCACGGTACTGGAATTATAATAGAAAAACATTCATGATTGAAAGTTAGTTTAAATATTTGTTTTTATTTAATTAAGCAATATCTATATATCTTTCTATGGGTACATGTATGTACATTCTGGTTCTCAGGAAGGTTAGACCCCGGAGCTTCTTGTAGCAGAAATTACTGGAAGTGATCGAAAACCAGACCTTGGTCCAGGGAATGAACATGTTTTAAAGGCTTGGCTCTGTCTATATCCCTGTCAATATTTTTAAGATTTATATATTATCTTGATATCAGAAAATAGATAGGTCCTCATACAAAAGAAAACCCTATTTATGTAAACAATTTGGTTAAGACTTTAGACATTACAGTTGTTTTCAGTTTTAAGGAAAAAAACTTGTTTTAAGTCTTTTTCATTGTAGATTTGAGGTAAGTAAATTAGTAAACAAGTTCAGTAAAGACTGATGTGAAGACCACATTGTGGTCTTTTGCAACATTACAGATAGATATTGAAGTGTGCTATTTGTGTGGAAAATTCAATTAGTGAAATTTATTTTGTGGTCCTTTCATTCCTTCTGTGGTTTTTGTGCACTTTCACTTATTCAGAGGTATTTATCTGCTGCCTTGCATAGAATGGGATGGCTACATTTAAGTGTTTGATTTTTATTTAACTCTCAGGTAGTATGTGATCACACTTTTTATGGAAGTGTGTTTGTGAAAGAGTTGTGCATTTTTGTTCATGGTTTTATTTTTAATATTTTTTTCACAAATTCCCTTGAAATGTTGTTTGTTATCCAGTTTGGTTGAATGTCAGTAATTAGTCATGGATACATTAGAATTCATGATCCTTGTGTGTCAGTCTGCTAAGAACAAGTCTAAGGGTAGATGATGTACTTTCAATGATTGTTGTTTTGTAAAAAAGTGTAGGAAAACAGGGCTGGGTAAAGAAAACCACAATGACCCTGGAGCCCAGAATTAGGGAAAGATGACACAGATAAAGCAAGTTTAAAAAAAACACAGTTTGGCTAAAATCAGTGCCATCTGTGCCCCTGGCCAACTAACTTGTGAAACTAACCAATCACAGAACAGGATAGTAGAATCCTGTCCCTAGGGCCCAGAATCAGGGAAAGAAACACAACTTATGTTTTGGACCTGAGCCAGAGAAATGAACTATGGAAACATGCCCTGACTCTGAAACTGGTGCCAAAATAACACTCTTGGTCTCTAGAATCAGAATCAGTGAAATAAATATGCCCTTCCCTTAAAGGTAGTGTCAAAAAACCAAGAAAGGCCAGTGAAAGAAAAACAATTTGTCCCTGAAATCAGGACCATCTTTGTCCTAGCCCACAAAACTGGCCAAACACTGGGCAGAAAAAAAAACTGATTGGTTAACTCCATCCCCAAAGCATCCTATATAAACTGCCCTGCCTGGTCAATTGTACTCTCCACCCTGGTAGAAGTAGCTACTCTCCTGGACTCCTCCTTCCCCCCCCAAAAAAATCTCAAAAGTGTTTTAGGTGTGAAGACCTTCATTCACTTGTGCACAGAAGAACCTTATTGGGACGTCCCAAGGTGTTTTGAGCAAGGGGGAGCTGAATAGGAGAACCTTACTGAGATATACCATAGTGGATTCAACAAGGAAGAGCTGAACAAAAGTACCTTGCTGAGATGTTTCAAGTGGATTGAGCAAGGGGGAGCTGAGCAGAAAATCCTTGCTGAGTAGACAGAGCAAAAGAGCTGAAAAGTAACACTTTTGTCCTGAGCAAGAGGAGATTGCTACATTTTTGTAATTTCTTTGGCCAGAGAAGCAGGGCTTTGCTAGGAAGCCCCCTTAAGAGGGCGCTGAGCAAAGCTCTGCTGTAGTGGGTCTCCAGGAGAAGAGCAGGATTGCTATATCCTGCAGGGAGACCATCACCCATCACAGGAGGTATATCCTGAGTTTTCTGAAGAATCAGGATACCCTTTGCTGCTGAAGCACTTCCAGGCCTGACTTTCCTGGGAAGTCATACAATCTTCCCTCCAGGGCTGGGCTAAACAGCTCCAGGTGTCCAAGACACCTTCAGGGCAGAGTTGTTGTTTTGAGCAGCTTGAGGTGTCTGGGATACCTTGCCCTCTAGGACTGAACTGTCTTTTTGTAGTTCCAGTTATCAGAGCTGTGCTAAGCAGCTCAAAGTGTTTTCTGACTCTCAGGTAGTCAGGACACCTTTCCTCAGATTTGCAAAACTCACATTTTGGTGCTAAAATCTGGGACCAAACCCATAGTTGTTGCAGCCTATTTACTTACAAATACATTTCAAAGAGGTTAATTTTAAAATAATTAAGAGAGAATAAATCATTAGATCCTTCATGGATGTATCAAAAGAAACATTTTCATCTGTCTGGAAGAGATGTAATAATTTAAGTGAGTCAGTAATCAACTGTATATTTCACAATAAAATTGATGTGCTATGAATATGTATACATTATTCAAAGTTCCATGCATCCTCATATCCTCATCTGTTATGCATTTGGCACTTCATCCCAAAGTACTGTCTTCTAAGGGAATTATCCAGAGATGCCAGATAATGTAATAGCAGTGAGATTTACTTTGTGAGATCTACTTTTTTCCAACTTCATATGGTGATCAAGGTAACATTACAGCCTTGCATAAGAAAGGCATTTCCAACACAGCTGTCTCATTGATGCTCAAATAAAATTAGTTGTAATATTAAATCTATAAAATACTGTCTTTTTAGATTGTAAACATATTTTCATTGAAAGATAAAGCAAAGTAGGAGAAATTGAATGATAAATCCTATTTCCAAGTGAAAATGATATATTGCTATTTCTTTTGTTTTTACTTTTATTGCATGTGAAATTATTTAGTTTATTCTGAGGACCAAACATTTGTTTATAGCAGTTTCTCAGATCAACGAATGAATGTGAGAGAATAGCTTGAATGTCAGTTATTAGTATTGGATCTTATATGAATTCGTGATCTTCATGTGTCAGTCTTTTGAGTACAAGTCAAAGGTTAGATGATTTACTTCCAATAATTGTTATTTTTTCAAAATATTTTAACAATATTAATGTTAAAATACTTAATAGAGAGTATAAAAACATTAAAAACTTATGTGTGGATCCAAAGAAACATTTTCATCTATCTGGAAGAGAATTAATAGTTCAAGTTAATCAGTAATCAACTGAATATTTTATAATAGAACTTGATGTACTATGTATATGTATATAATATTTGAGGTTCTATGCATCTTCATGTCCTCAACAGTTAGCCATTTGTCATAATATCTTGAAGTATTGCCATCTACAGGAATTATAGAGGTGCCAGATAATGTAATAGCAGTGACATTTACTTTAAAAAATCTGGTGTGTGTGTGTGTGTGTGTGTGTGTGTGTGTATGTGTGAGATGTAACAATGGGTTTTTAGGCCATGACAGAAATGTGAAGAATAGAAGACAACTTTGTGGGGTCTACTTTTGTCCATCTTCATTTGGTGATCAAGATGAGGTCAAAGCCTTGTACAACACAGATATTTCTAACAGAGCTGTCTCATTGATGCTTAAATAAGATTAGTTGAAACATTAAAACAGTAAAATATTGTTTTTTTCTCATTGAAAACATATTTTCTTTTTAAGATAATTGAAAATAGGATACATTGACTAATAAATACTATTTGTGAAAAAAAATGATATACTCATATCTCTTTTTGTGTTTTTCTTGCATGTTGAATGAGTTATTTTATTCTTAGGACCAAACATTTTTTCATAACACTTTCTCCAAACAACAAATGAATGTAAGAGAGTAGTTTCAGTGAGTAAAGGTGGTTGCTGCTATGCCGGGTGTCCTGAGTTAATACTCTAGGAATCCATAGCACTCCTACAAATCTTTCTCTTCTTTCTACACTTCTGGTGTGGCATATGGACACTCACATGCTGGCACATACATAAATAATTTCAAAACACAAAGAAGTGTCATTGAGGTAACTGGCAACCAGGTGATGCTCTGGCTTTCATCTCTGGAAATCACATAGGATGAATAGATAGTAGACACATAAGTTGTCCTCTCACTGCTACATACACGTCATTGCAAAAGAATAGCGTCAGTTCATTCTGGACTTCATTTCTGAGGATGCCTTCCTTGATATCATGAATACACTCTGGACTTCATGTCCCAGGTTGCCTTTCTTTATAGGGTCATTACATATGGACCTCATTTCCTAGGATGCCTTTCTCTAGAGCTTCACTACATTTGGACTTTGTTTCACAGCATGCCTTTCTTATAGCATCAGTACATTTGGACACCATTTTACAGGATGTTTTTCTCTAGAGCATCATTACA